ATTAAGCCCCTGGTGAACCAGGGATGTGAATAGCCTTGCTAGCATGCAGAATTCACTGGCAGGTGGATTGTTGCAGCTGTTGTTGGTTTAGAATTTAGCACCCTGTTATTTGATCTCCTTTACCCGTTTAAATTTATTCTAGTTTCTAATATTTTCTGCTTTCTTTTTGATTGAGGTTTCAATCCGTTTTTCTGTTAATCTGGTTCGTTTTGTTGTTTGTTTTTTAATGTTTCTCTATATGTGAAATCCAGGACAGATAAATCTATAAGAGACAGTAACTGAATTAAAGGTCCCTTGAAGGTAAGGCAGGCGAGGTTTACGGGAAGTGAGTTAATAACGAGTACAGGAATGAAGACAATGTTCTCAAACTGATTGTGATGATGATTGTACAACTCTTCCTGATGTGATTGAACTAGTATTGAACTGTATGCCAGTGAAACTGTTGGGGTAAAAGAGGCATGAGTTCAGTGGCAGGTTTCAAGGTGGAAGCCCAAATTTGTCCAGAATTGGAAATGTATTTTAGCTTTCCCTCCTTAGGCCAATTGGAACATGTTACTCCTTCCATTTAAGAAAGGAGGCAAATGAACTGACGACCTTCCTGGTTTACTAAGTGGAACCCCTCTGTCGCCGCCGTCTTCCTGTGAGCTGAAGGGAGACTGTGTGCATCTCGTCCCCTGGCTGCAGAGCTGGCCTCTTTCTGTAGGCTTCCCGCGGTCAGTAGTTGCTCGGATGAGGGGAATGGGCAGGGGAGGTAGGTTGGGAATGATAAGCAAGAAGGCAAATGGAAGAAATAGGTGTTGAACTAGGGAGCCGTGGGGGAGGCAAGCTCAGGGCACAAGGAGGTCCCCAAGTCTGAGCAGATTCCTAATGTGCCCTCCAGGTGCTGGGCTACTAACCTCAAGATCAGTGGTTTGAGAAGCCCACTAGCTGCTCCGTGGGAGAAAAATGAGGCTGTCTGCTCTGACAGCTCCACAGCCTGGAAGCTCTGTAGAGCTGTGCTTCTCAACCTGCCTAATGCTGCGGCCCTTTAACACACTTCCTCATGTTGGGGTGAGCCCCAACCATAAAATCATTTTCATTGCTATTTCATAACTGTGATGTTGCAGCTGTTATGAATCAGGTGACTCCAAAGGGGTCGTGACCCACAGGTTGAGAACTGCTGCTGTAGAGTCTCTGAGTTAGAATCAGTTTAATGGCAGGCTTCGGGTTTGGGTTAGTGCAAGAGGAGGATTGAAATTATTTCAATGATTTAAAAAATGAAAGTGCAGCAAGTGAAAGTGTGATGAAGAATGTTTTTTTAATCATTTTATTGGGGGCTTGTATAACACATATCCATCCATTTTGTCCAGCACATTGGTACAGTTGTTGCCATCATTCATAAAACATTTTCTTTCTACCTGAGCTCTTGGTATCAGCTCCTCATTTTTCACCCTCCCTCACCCACTTTCCCTTCCTTATGAATCCTCGATAATTTGTAAATTATTATTTTTTTGTGTCTTACACTGACTGATGTCTCCCTTCACCCACTTTTCTGTTGTCCCTCCTCCAGGGAAGGGGTTTATACGTAGATCATTGTCATTGGTTCTCCCTTCTCCCCCAACCTTCCCCTTCCCCTCCTGGTATATCTACTCTCTGGGTCCTGAGGAGTTTATCTGTCCTGGATTCCCTGTGTTTCCAGCTCTTTCTTATGAGAGAGTGAGACATTGAATGAGACAGTGAGAGTCAGTGAATGAGTGAGAGTGAGTCACTGGGTGAGGCAGTGAG